TATCATTTCCTTTCGTTCGCGCACATTACAAACAAAACTTTATCTCTAAGAACCAAAGACCAGTTTCTTATAAAACTTATAAATTATGCGTTAGTTCATCAAGTTTGCAGCAGATAGACAATGGCGTAGCCCATCGGCTGACGCGCCGCTATTAATCATAGAAAATGACGCGGCGCATTGTGAAACGGCTCGGCTCAAAATTGTGAAAACCTATCCTGTGCGAGTACGAACTAATAACACGGCCCGCTCACACTTCGCAAAATGCCCACGAGGGGGGTACAGTTTGCAGAAGACCCTTTGCAAAAAAAAAGAGATAATTTTTTTTTGTTTTTTTTTTTTTTGTGTTGAAGATAGTGATAAAAGTGTCATTATATAGTGTTATTTTGGAGTAAATGTACCTACAAAGTACAGATTTCGGATTGGTTTTGTCAAATCGTTGACTTTTATTTTTAAGGCTTCGATTTTAACAGGACATTTTTGAGATCTGTAGTTGTGATGGAATGTAAATCTAATAAGAACTTGTAAGACAAGAACATCTTATAAGATTACATAAAAGGGTCTTCAATACCGAATGAGAAAAAAGTAGCAAAATGATAGTAGATATACCAAGTGAAAATAGGTTCGTTGTTTATTTTTATTGAAAACGAATTTAGGTTGTGTCATATAGTTATTGACCCGAATATTGTGTAAACAATCAAAGTCAAATGTTACAATATATCGTAGTACTACAAAAAAGAAAAAAACTACATCAGCGAAAAAAAAACGAATAGTTTTTTTTCTTTTTTTTCGAACCTTACTTCGTCGCTTGACGATGATGCAGTGTGCTAGTGTGAGTGTTGATCCGCGTGTATGTGTGCGTAACCCATGACATTCTGCAACAGACGTGATATATTGAGAACTGCTCCAAAAATCGCTATTAGGTATCCAGTTGCGTACGTAATAAAAGGCGTGGTTTGCGTTTACTATGATTTTACGTTATTTTTTGTTACACTTTTCGAACTTAAACGCGCGCGTTCGTGTTTTGTTGCGTCATTTATTATTCTATATAACATATTCGTATTACATAAGGATATTTGGGTAGATTTTTTGTCTGTGTTTGTGGAATGGGAGGTTTCATTTTTTATTTGCAAAAGTAACTTATTGCAATTTTTTGTTAGGATACATCCTTTTTTCTACGTCCGTGGGTTATATATTAATATCTTATTATTGTATCAGACTTTATATTCGGTCATTATAATAAAATGACAACTTATAACTATTTCATTACACTATGTCATCAATGTTATATTAAAAAAGATTTAATACATGTTCATAGTGATGCAGGAATTAGAGTCTAAATGTAAATTAGATACAAAATACTAGAACATCACATTAATAATACTACATATATATCCATGAACTACTTATGACGAAATGTCCAAATTACAAGAATGAAATGTTTAAAATAACTGTTTTTATTAAATTGTTATGGGAGTCATCTTATTTGTAGTGGGTTAAATTAAACTCATTGATTTCGACAATCATTGAGGAAACACGTTGTGATGTACTGTTAAATTCTATCACAGCTTAGAAGATGACGGACGTCAGAACCCAATTCACGCTAAAAATGTACCTAAAAGCTACTATCCTGCATGACTCGGCCTACATACGTCCACCTATGTACTACGCCTATGTTCCGTAGTCGATTATTCACCCGATAGATACACATAGGTAAAAAATACAGTCTGGCCTACGCAGAATAGATGCAAAAGTCAAATAAACCCAAATCATGCATTCATTCCACTCGGCGTACCATCTCATTTGCGGCCCACACTAGAGAAACAAACATCTAGGTATGTATACACAATACATAGGTATATTTTCGAATTTTATGCATACCACGTTCGACCTGCGTTAGTGTTGCACACTAGTTTTTGGTAGCATCCATCCGACCAACATATCTTGATACGTCACCACGCGAGAAAATGCCTAGTTTCGTTCGAAATTTGACGTGCCAATGGAGGTGGAGGGTGTCAAATGATACTGGCTGGTTATTGTAGTGTGCGTGCGTAGTTGAGTAATAGTGTAGGGGTAGGCCCGCCCCCGCCGCGTCATCGCACTGACTGCGTCTGTGTTAGGAACATTTAAAATGCCCCCCCGTGACGATCACTACGCGGCCATATTTTTTTTTTTTTTTTTCACATTAGATTGTAATTGTGTAATATTGGCTATTAGGGCTTGGTATTAGCTTTGGGTGATTGTTTGTGATATCGGTTGCTGATGGAATTGAAAAAAAAAAGTAAAAATAATTATGTTCGTTTTCTCTGTAGTTGTGAACAAAGCAATCGGTCGCCGGTCAAAAATAGTTATATTATTTTTTTTTATTTAAAGCGGTAATAAGGTATCGTAACATATCGAAAAAAAACTTACGGTATCGTCCTCGACTAACATAAATGGTTACCGTAGGTAATATAATTTGTTATTTCATTTCCTACATACTCCTTGATTTGTTTATGCTATCAAGATCACCTTCTTGTATTTACCTTATATTCCGCCAAAACTCCAAAATCACATAAAACACTTTTTGATACAGACACTATCAACATCATTTATCACTATCACTATCACATTTTTTGAACACATCACCCACTTTTCTACATCTTTTTTTATTTTTATTTTTTTCATACTATAATTTAATGTTTCTACAGAGATACTGTCTTATTCTACGGTCAAAGGTGAAATGGTCAAATCTTAAAACTAGTGGTCAGTTATTCTCACATAAATTTGTATTAATTTGCATTGATGTCGATGTCATCTTGCCCGTGGGTACTCTCCGAAGTCAGGGGTCACAGCCTCGCGGTCTCGCGGTAACCGGTTCCATTCCCGTTTCGTTGGTATACAAAAGGAAGGAAATAGCAATAAATTTTATATTATTTCGTATAAAATTGTGAATGGAATTGATCAGGTGATTTTATAGAAAAATAACGGATTCATAACTAAAATAATTTTATTTAAATATTCTTTTTTTTCTGCTTTTATGTAAGGACATTGTATTCGCAAAAGCTGTATAAAGATATACTGTAGGTAGCCATGGATACCTAGCTTAGAATTAGTGCTTTAGTATATGATATTATAATAAAAAATTGTACTGCGAACCTGATTAAAAAAGAGTAACCTATGGAGTTTCTTGCTCTTTCTTCTCCATAGGAATCTCATTCCAAGGTACACCTTGCTACCGTGCCTTACTTGCTTGAAATGGCTTCATTTTAAATGTTATTAACGTTCTAAAGTGCCTTCCTGGGTGCTTACTCTTGAAACCAATCTCAATGTGAATGCAATTTCAATCCAATAAAATCTCAATAATTATTCAATGTCAAAACTATACAACCACAATCGCAGCTGTTAATGTAGCATTTAGAGTACGGGATATAAAACCAAACTCAATACCATTTAGTTCATTCAATATCCACGCAATACGGATGCAATGGGCGCTAGTGTTGCAACTCAAGAGTACAAAATTTCGCAATACCAATGTCGATCTATCGGTATTGAATTCAAGAGTACGCCACCAGGTCTTATTGAATTAAATGATTTAGACTATGACTATCCTTGAATTGTTATTCTCTGTAATATAGTTGTTGGTTACCAAAATTTAAATAAATAATTACGTTGACAATTGGCTAGGTTTATTTTATATATGTGATGGGCCGAGACGTTTGACCACTATCTCGCCTGGTGGCAGCGATGATGCGGTCAATGACTGCTAAGTAAAGGTAGTTTACCAATAGTTTCAACTTTTCAATATACTTTTAAGGGGGGATAATCATCGAATGACTGCTCCCGCCTGGGTGAGGCGGGAGGGAGTGTCAGACTCTTACTGACTAAAAACCACCCCGTTTCTACTCCTGCGCTTCGAGCTGGAGCCCCGGTAACCCGTTAGGTTCTCCGCGACAACTATTCAATATACTAATGCTTATTTTTCCGCCTGGAAACGTATGAGTGTAATAAATTTTATGTAAACTGTTGAAAATCGTGAAAATTGTGATGATTTTATGCAATTATAGCTGGTACCGCTCGGTTTCATCCGCTGCTCAGCGCCTATTGATCGTAGCGTGATGTTTAATAGCCTAGAACCTTCTTCGACAAATAGACTATCCAACGCAAAAATTGTTCCTGGGATCAGCTTGTACAAACAAACCAACAAACTCTTTAGTTTTATAATGTAAAATAAAATAAATATATCCATATAAATTGCGTAACTATTAGAATCAGTTATTTATTTATTTAGTAGCAATTTTTAATCTTTTGATCACACAGTTCGGAGTTCGCGGGAATTATATCATTATAGTCAAATTATATCATTACTTATCTATCTTTTTCTTGTCATCCCGATTAAATGCTTCCATGGGATAAAACTGGAATCATATTCTACGCGGACTAATTCGCAGGCAAGTAGTTCATAAAACTAGTCATGTTTATATAGTGCTATATTGAATGGTTTATCAAAGTTTGAAGCTTCCAAATTTTTAAACAGAGAAGATAATACATAACCGTTCAGTAGTATAATTATATATAGTATAAAGTTTAATCTATACGAACTACTGAGAGTCTGTCAGGCACTAACCTGACTATAGTTAAGATAAACTAAACTCTTATGGTTCTTACTGTTTACATCAACAGCATAACTGATAATGTTTAATAAAAATACAATATTTGAGACGCTGTGACGTCAAAGTATAACATTAATTTTGTATGAAAAGTATAAGTGCAAAACTTTACACGAACATATTTCGGCCATTTTACAATCAAAATTGTAATTAATTTGTAACATTGAGGTGTTCATAGTTACACATATTTCTAAAAACGTTAACATTCCCCATTGCGGTTTTATTAAATCTACTGTTGACTCATCTGTGTCGTGCTGTCATATCTTTAAGTATGATATAACAAGGTGTAATATATACAATATTGATTCGTGTTCTATTGTAGTAAGTATTCTTCCATCAAATAAAACGACTGAATAAAATGCCAGAATTTATTTACATTAAAAACAAAAGATGTATCCAGAGAAAAGAGACAAAAAATATTACAAGAACCTAGCAAGTAGTGCACGGTGCCCGGCGGGTGCCGAACTTAACAAATAAGTTTCTGCGGGTGATACGGCAGTCCTTGCGACCTCTTGGGCCGAAAGCTCCCGACTGGCTACCGGCAGAAGCGCTAGCTCCGGCTGCTGCAGCGGAACCACTGCCAGCAACAGGTCCTACTCCGTACGGTGCGTATGAACCTGACGAGGAACTAGCTACAGAAGAAGTTCCATAAGACCCATTTTCAATCACAATAACTTCATCCACGTAGCTGTTGCCTGCGGATGCAGCTCCAGCTGAAGCAGATGCTCCTGCTGATGCTCCTGAACTGCCGGATCCATATCCTCCAATACGTCTACCGCGTGCATCGACTCCTCGTGATCCTGCTCTACCACCAGCTGCTGCTGCTGCAGATGCTGCTTCAGCTTCTGCTTCTGCCTCAGCTGCTGCTGCTTCAGACACAGCCAGTGCGTTTGCTTCAGCGTCTACTGCTGCTTCGGCGGCTGCGGCGGCTGCTTCTGCTTCGGCTGCGGCTGCAGCACTTGCTGAAGCAAAGTCGTCTGATCCATATCCGTTGTAGCCGTCACGTCCTTGTGATCCGTAAGGTCCAAGTTGTTGGACGCGTTTTCCTCTGCCACCTTGACCACCTGCTGAAGAGGCTGCTCCTGCTGAAGCTGCTGCACCTGCACCAGATTGCGATCCAGCTGGTCCATATCCGCCGTAACGTCCATTGCGACCACCCAAGCCAGATTGTCCAGCGGCTCCAGCACCTGCTGCAGCTGATGCACCGGCTCCGGCGCCTGCTCCTGACTGTGAGCCAGAACCGTATCTACCGTAGAGTCCACCTAAACCAGACAGGTCACCACCGTTTGCTGCTGCTGCTGCTGCTGCTGCTGCTTCTGCTGCTGCCTCGGCGTCTAAACCATCTAATCCGTATTCACCATAAAGTCCATCGCCACCTGCTGCTGCTCCGGCTCCAGCTCCAGCACCTGCTTGTGATCCAGCTGGTCCATAACCACCGTAACGTCCGTTGCGTCCACCCAGACCAGATTCACCAGCGGCTCCGGCACCTGCAGCGGCAGATGCTCCTGCACCTGCTCCTAACTGTGATCCACGGCCATTGCGTCCAACCAAACCAGATTGTCCAGCACCACCTGCTGCTGCTGCTGCTGCTGCCTCTGCGTCCAAGTCATCATATCCGTAGTCTCCATACACTCCTGAACCTCCTGCTCCTGCTCCTGTAGATGCAGATGCAGTTGATGATGACTGGCCGTTAGTTCTTATTTCGATGTCGTACTCTCTTCTTGACACAGACGAAGCTGCTCCAGATGAAGCTGAAGCGCTTGATCCATAGCCATTGCGTCCGTTGCGACCGGCTGCTTCAGATTGTCCAGCTGACGCTCCAGCAGAAGCGGATGCTCCGGCTGATGCTCCTGAACTGCCTGATCCATATCCTCCAATACGTCTACCACGTGAGTCGACTCCTCGTGATCCACCTCTACCTCCAGCTGCTGCTGCTGTTGCTGCTTCAGCTTCTGCTTCTGCCTCAGCTGCTGCTGCTGCAGACACAGCCAGTGCGTCTGCTTCAGCTTCTACTGCTGCTTCTGCGGCTGCGGCTGCTGCTTCTGCTTCGGCTGCGGCTGCAGCACTGGCTGAAGCAAAGTCGTCTGATCCATATCCGTTGTAGGCATCACGTCCTTGTGATCCATAAGGTCCCAGTTGTTGGACTCGTTTTCCTCTGGCACCTTGACCACCAGCTGAAGAGGCTGCTCCTGCTGAAGCTGCTGCACCTGCACCAGATTGCGATCCAGCTGGTCCATATCCGCCGTAGCGTCCATTGCGACCACCCAAGCCATATTGTCCAGCTGCGCCAGTGCCTGCTGCAGCTGATGCTCCAGCTCCTGCGCCTGCTCCTGACTGTGAGCCAGATCCGTATGCGCCGTAAAGTCCACCCAAACCAGACAGGTCACCACCGTTTGCTGCTGCTGCTGCTGCTGCTGCTGCCGCTGCTGCTGCTGCTGCTGCCTCGGCGTCTAAACCGTCCAATCCGTATTCACCATATAGTCCAGCTCCTCCAGCTGCTGCTGAGGCTCCAGCTCCAGAACTTGATTGTGATCCTCCTAGTCCATAACCACCGTAGCGACCGTTACGTCCACCCAAACCAGATTGTCCAGTGGCTCCGGCACCTGCAGCGGCAGATGCTCCTGCTCCAGCTCCTGACTGTGATCCACGGCCATTGCGGCCAACCAAACCAGATTGTCCAGCACCACCTGCTGCTGCTGCTGCGGCTGTTGCTACCTCTGAGTCTAAGTCGTTATATCCATAGTCTCCATAACGTCCTGAACCTCCTGCTCCTGCTCCGGCTCCAGCTGATGCAGATGCAGTTGATGATGACTGTTCGTTAGTTATAATTTCTATGTCGTATTCTCTTCTTGACACAGATGAAGTTGCTCCAGATGAAGTTGAAGCGCCTGATCCGTAATTACCCTTGCGTCCATTGCGACCGGCTGCTCCAGATTGTCCAGCTGATGCTCCAGCTGAGGCCGATCCTCCGGCTGATGCTCCCGAACTTCCAGCTCCATAACCTGGCTTATTAGGTCTTACTGGAGATCTTGGTCCAGATGATGTACCCGAAGTTGAACTTGATGTTACTGACGAGCCAACGTTGTCACGTCGGGGTCCTCCAGATTGGCTAACAGAAGATGCAGAGGCGGAAGCGGATGCTGTAGCTTCGTATGGATTAGGCATCTTGGTAATTGTGGATTCTTCTTCGTAAATTGTTTCATTACCTTCATCGTCGACGTCTATAACGTATGTTATAGTTTTATGTTTGCCTTTTCCATGATGTTGTAATCCTGGAGGAAGGTTTGCGAATTCTATCTTCGATCGAACTGTTTTGACTTCTTCGTAGTTTCCGCTCTCATCTCTGATTATCTTGTCAGTTTCGTTCAAGATAGTCTGGTGAGCACCAGGGATATTTTCGACACCGGAAAAGTCGATCCCGTTGAAGTAGTCCCACTCATTGGCGATTGCGAACTGTTAAACGAAATAAAAACATGTATGTAAAAGAAAATATATTATAGTGCCGTTTCAACAGGTCTTTATATTGTAATATGAAGCTTATGTACAGTGAAATAAAGCACATATTGTTACAAATTTTTTTTTCTTAAGTTTTCGTATTATTATGAGTTAGACATCTTTGCCTCTTTTTTCTGTCTGGAAGAATTTCTAGACAAAACGATTAATTCATTTATTTTAGAAAGAAATCGATTTAAAGTGGTATGTTTTATTCTATCTTGGTCAAAATTATACATTTACGATGCTAAAGTATATTAAGATAATGAAACAATGAAACCAGAATCAAGAAAATAAAGAAAGTAATATAGTTGTTATCTTACCTGCAAGGCGCAGCAAAGGATCACGAAGGTTGTTCCTCTCATTTTGATTGAGAGTTGGAACCGAACTGATGCCGATACAAAATTCCCCGATCTTTTTATACTCAAAATCTAGCCTAACATTGACGCAAATAAAATTTAAAACAAAAGTATATGAAAACAAATATTTACGAAAAATAACAATAGGGTTACAATTTGATTGTAAGTGAAGTAACCTCGCGATTTGTAACAATAAAATAACAATTAGTGCTTGATTGAGACATTGTAGTTGTTGAATTGTGTGTGCAAACATAGCAACATATGGTTTTACATTTACTATATCGAGAAACAAATGTATTGATTAAGATGTGTATTCGACATCTGGTTTTAGACAAACAAAGGAAAATCATGAACGTTTACTTGGAAAAACATGTTCCTATTGTAAAATAGTACCTACATTATGTATGTCCATTGTCTTATTTAATTGTTACGTAATACAATATTTTCATCTGATACTTATGATATGAGCAATGACTTAACCGATGTCCTAACCATAACATCACGCCTTTTATCCCCGAAGGGGTAGGCAGAGGTGGACATTACAGCACTTTACAATGTAACAGCAATTACCACTGAACAATAACACCCACTTTTTCTATTTATGTTATGAGTCCCATGTAATAGGGGGAGAGCCTATTGCCATAGACCGGGCACAATTCTAGACTCCGTGCTACTACTGAGAATTCTTTTACAAATCCGGTAATAACATATTTTGCCCACATATTTTTAATATTTCTGTGATTTTGCCCGACCCGGGAATTGAACCCGAGACCCTTTGTCCGGCAGTCGCACTTGCGACAACTCGGCCAACGAAGCAGTCTTAAATATAGTACTTAAATATAACTTTATAAAGATATATAGTTTAATAATAACATGATAAACGACATCGAAGTCACACCTCTTGGGATATAGGTATTTCCAGACTTCGAGCTATTACTGAAAAACAAATTAACTGCGCTAGCCAAACTATAATCGTTATAAAATACTCGAGCAACCGAAAATAATATACAGCCACACTCTGCATTATGTTTCGTCGTGTGAATGACGTTACCGGAGACCCAATTACCGCCCCCCCTTCCTTATTCTCCCCAATCCTCAAATTCCTTATCCCCAAAAGGCCGGTAACACACTTGTAACGCCTCTGGTGTTTCAGTGTCTATGGGAGACGCCGATTGCCATCAGGTGATATATCAGCTCGTGTACCGCCTCATCACTACATAGTATAAAACAAAGATTTTGATGCGGTTTTTTTAATAGATAGAGTGATTCTTAAGGAAGGTTTATATGTATACTATAGTAGGTATATTTACATAAGTATTGCACCCGTGCGAAGCCGGGGTGGGTCGCTAGTCCTATACAAAAAACAGGAATCGAATGTTCCTTAGTCAAACCTCTCCAAACGAGACCATAAACATAGATAACCCGTATTAATTACAAAGTATAATTTTCAAACGACCAAAACTACACATCACTAGTTCAAATTAAGCAAAATTTATGCAAATTCGATTTACATATTCAATAAAGGGGACCTAAGACCCCTTTATCTTCGGACCCAAGATTAAGAAAGGTAAAGGCGAAGACAAACTTATCTTTCGGTTGATCAACCTTTAAAAGATATGGTAAGGGGTTAAAATAGTAGCCTATAATAGATTTTAAGTACTTAATCTTAGAGGTTAATTTCGATTATCTTTACGTATAGTGTTATTGTTAAGAAAATGTAATTAACATTGACTTGTTAATTACCTACCTCCTCGCTGGTCGAGTGGTTCTAGGTACGACAGTTGAGTAAGTGGTACCACAATATGAAACTGTACTCATCTCTCATGGATCCCTTAACTTATTTCAATCTAAGTACAAATAGCGTGATATTTTGTTACGTTATGTACAACCCGAGAATTGAATCGAACTTTCTTATTGAAAGTTAAGGAAAGGCTGAAAGCTAAGACAAAGAAGGACGAAAAATAAAATTTACATTAAAATTCTAAGTTACAAAAGATCAAAAATCAAATCAATTTAGTCACAGGCCAGGCTTTAGAACAAAATACAAGACATCAGTTTCTCAGTAGTGGCACTTTTAACATTTTTATAAACCCTCAAAACATTTTTTATACCCTTCTATTGTCATAAAAACATATCTAATATTATTTTATGAGTTGGAAAAAAAATCAATACGTCTCCCACAGAGAAGCAGGGTGAGGTACAAAAATCGATTGATTAGTGACATTAAACATATGGCAATTCAGTTTGCATTTTTTTATACCGGTATGGGGAAGAAGATAGGAGCTCCTGTTCGGCAACATCTGCAGCCCGTGTCAGTCCTAGAGGATTTTTTTAAGGGGGAAAAATCATCGATTGACTTCTCCCGCCTGGGTGAGGCGGGAGGGAGTGTGTCAGACTCTTACTGACTAAAAACGACCCTGTTCTTAGTCCTGCATTTCGAGCCAGAGCCCTGGTAACCCATTGGGTTCTCCGCGGCATCCTAGAGGATAGATAGAGGAGGATAGATAGGATGTATGATGGTGATAGCATCAACATCATTATGATCATCAGTAGCCTATGTTGCCTATGGGATTAATTAGTTTGTTAGTTCACGGGTTTTATAAAAGAATAATATAAAGATATGGGAAGATGACCTAAGAAGAACTGCTGGACCAGAGTGGATCTGAATAGCGAGGGATGGGGAAAAGTTAAAATCTTTGGAGGAAGCCTATGTCGAAGGGCAAGCTGGGGATAAAAGTACTGAAGCATAAAAATAATGAATGAATTATAAATTTGTAACCTTAGTAATGAAGGCTTTATTATAAGGAGATTTCCACGATCTCCCTGCTCGGCCGGGTTCCAGTTAGGTCCTAACTAACATAACATAACATAACATCACGCCTTTTATCCCCGAAGGGGTAGGCAGAGGTGTACGTTATTCCACTGTACAATGTAACACCCACTTTTCACTATTTATGTTGTGAGTCCTATGTAATAGGGGGTGAGCCTATAAATTGCCATATACCGGGCACAATTCCAGACTCCGTGCTACTACTGAGATTTTTTTAAAAACCCAGTAATACTTTGCCCGACCCGGGAATTGCACCATAGACCTGCCAACGAAGCAGCCAGAGTTATGTCCTAACTGTTTAACATATTCAGGTTTATCAGAGAATTCTACACTGCTTGATCTCTGTCAGATGAGTCTTGGAAGTCTGCCAAGGTGGTCCCTATTCACAAAAATGGGAATAAGGAAAATATTACAAATTACCGACCCATATCGATTCTGTCTGTATTTGCGAAATCGTTTGAGGCCTTAGTTTATCCTTACCTAAAGCATTATACTAGAAACTTATTTGTTGACGAGCAGCACGGATTCATCCAGTCGCGGTCCACAACTACCAATTTGGTTACTTACCATAACGAAATAGTTAATGCGGTTGACTCGGGGGTGCAGGTAGATGCTGTTTATATGGATTTTGCAAAGGCATTCGACAGGGTATGTCACCGGGTGTTATTGTCAAAACTAGAATATTACGGTATTCATGGCTCTCTGCTAAAGTGGTTCCAATCGTATTTATCAGGCAGGACGCAATATGTTGTGGTAAAGGGATTTAAATCTCGAACCCACGCTGTTACCTCAGGTGTTCCACAGGGTTCTCATCTTGGTCCCTGGCTATTTAACTTATTCATTAATGATATTGTTTCTTGTATTAGACACAGTAGTGCTTATCTTTTTGCAGATGACCTAAAGATATGCAAAACTTTGATTGAACACACAGATAGGAACTTACTTCAAGCAGATCTCGATGCCATAACCACCTGGTGCAGTGTAAACAGAATGTCTTTGAATATAAACAAGTGCTACACAGTTACTTTCACGCGTAGCCACAACATGATACAGAGTCAATACCTCGTCGATGGAACTACATTGCAGCGGAAAGCTGAGATGAGGGACTTGGGCGTGATCTTCGATTCGAAGTTGACGTTCTTGCCACACATTGACAGTATTATTAATAAATCGTCAAAGATGCTGGGATTTATTATACGTAACAGCAAACTATTTCGCAGCCCAACCACTAAAATTACTTTATATAACAGCTATGTGCGAAGTCAACTGGAATATTGCTCGGTGGTTTGGTCGCCTCAGTATAATGTGCATCAAGTTAGAGTTGAACGCATACAGAAACGTTTCCTAAGACACCTAACATTTGCCAGTGGGCTGCACAAAAGCTTGGTATCGTATAGCGAAAGACTGAGACATTTCAGGATGGACCGCTTGACTGTTCGTAGAAAACTGCTTGACATAACGTTCATGTACAAGGTACTAAGAAACGAGTTTGACTGTCCGCCACTATTAGGCTTGTTCAATTTGCGTGTACCTCGACGTGTGCCTAGGCGCGCACTAATTAATGCGGGTTTACTACACCAGCCATCTGCCAGAACCAACCTAAAGAGGTTCTCCACCATTTCTCGTCTTTCTAGAGCCTATAACTCTGTCTGTGAGAGGGTTGATTTGTTTAGTGATAGATTGCCAAAATTCAAAAAAGCTGTTCTGGGATTGTTGAGAGATGAAGCTTAGTGTTGTGGTGTGCTGTTGACTTGTTTTATTATGTTGCTGTTGACTTGATTTGTTCCGCAACCGATTTTATCTATTTATTTTAATGTTATTTTTTTGTTATTGAGCTTTTAATGACTGTGTCCTTTGTTTTGATCTTTGATTATTCTTTTGTTTTGTATTTATATTTTTGTATTCAGGGTTGACTATTGTATAATGAGTGATAACGAAAGTTGTTACTAATTATATAATTCTTATTTATTGTAAATTTGGTAATGTAGAGAAATTAGATAAATTTTAATTTAATTGATATTGTGTTCTCGACTCAACGCATGCTGTGATGTCCTTCAAATGTTGTGCATTAGCAGTAAGATGTTAATTCCTAATTTTAAGTTAATGATAAAAATGTAGCAACAACTGGATGTCCAAATAAATAAATAAATAAATGAGTAATCTTGAGTCGGTTATACGTCTCCCATGTGAAGAGCTGGGGTGGTAAAAATGCACTCTATCATCACAACAGAAATAGTAGTCCAATATTGGTTAGTAAATATTTTTCCAATCCAGGGCCGTACTCTAAAAACTTGGGCCCTGTTTGAAGAGGTTCCCAAACATCGTAACAGGGTTCTTTGGTTGTAAAACAACCCTCTGTTAGTCCGTCTGTCTCAACGTATCGCTTTAATTAAGGGTGCGTGAGATTTATCACCACCTTGAGTAAGCAACAGGTCTCGATTAAGTGCTTGATTTGGTGTAATTCGATT